GCCCTCCTCCGCTCCCCTGCCTGTTCCGGGGACCCTGGGTTACGGCGGGCGCTGGCCCCTGTTTTCTCTGAGATGCTGAGATCCTAGGGGCCAGCAAGACAGGAGCTCTGTTTGTGAGCAATTCTCCTTGGGTCTTCTGCTCACTCACTCAGGCCATTTCTCTTCAAATTGGAAAGTGTAAGCTAAAGGCGTGAGATCTGGGTACGTGTGTAGTCAGCTTCTTTGCCCGCATTCTTTGGAGTGGCACTGGGGACAGATGAGTGGGGAGCAGGTATGGCAGCATTAGGACCCACCAAGCTGCCCCCGAATCTCAGAGTTCCATCTTGGTGGCACGTGGCTTCCTCTGTGCTGCTCTTTCTGCTGGTGAGTGGATGGCTTCTCTTGTTTGTGAATTAGTTTTTGTTTATTGCGTTAATTACCTGGGGAGAGACTCTGTGATCTGGATTTATCCTCCATCTCCAACTGATAATCAAAAATAGCACTTTTAAAGAATGGGAATTTTTGCTATGGTATGATTTTTCCTTAGAAGCTTTTTTTCCTCTGATATTCTTGCAGAAATTCAAGGTCATTGTCAATACAAAACCAGAGAGAACAATGAAAAACAATTCAAATGTAGCCAAAGCTCCATTAATTATTATTTTTAAAAAATTGCTATATAATTTATTTATGATAAAATTACCCTTTAAAAATATATAGTTCTGTGGTATTTAGAATTGTCAAAGATTTTACAAGTACAATCATCACAACTCTCTAATTCCAGAAAGAAACCTCATACTCATTAGCAGTTACTCCCCATTTTCTAACCCCCACCTCCCCAAACAACTACTACTTTTTGTCTTCATGGATTTTCCAATTCTGGACATTTTATGTAAATGGAATCATATAATATGTGCCTGACTTCTTTTGCTTACTGGAATGTTTTCAAGGTTAATCCATGCTGTAGCATGTATCAGTATGGCATTTTTTAGGGCTGAATAATATTCCATTGTATGTCTATGTTACCTTTTGTTTATTCATTCATCAGTTTATGAACATTTGGGTTGTTTTCACCTTTTAGTTCTTATGAATAATACTGCTGTGAAGATGTGGACAAGTTCTAGCGTGGACAGGTGTTTCAATCCTCTTGGGTATATACTTAGGAATGGAATTGCTCAGTCATACGGGAGCCCTATGCTAAAATTTTGAGGAACTGCCAAACTGTTTTCCAAAGTGGCTGTACCATTTTACATTTTCACCAGCAATGTATGAGGGTTCCAACTTCACCAACATTTGTTATTGTCCATCATTTTGATTTTAGCTATCCTAGTGAGTATACAGTGGTCTCGGACTGTGGTTCTGATTCATATTTCCCTGCTGACTAAAGATGTCAGCATCTTTTCATGTGCTTATGGGCTATTTGTATATCTTCTTTGGAGAAATGTCTGCTCCAATCCTTAGTCCATTTTTAAGACTGAGTTATTTGTCTTTTTACTGCTGATTTGTAGAAGTTCTTTTTATATTCTGGATACAAGTCTCTTTTCTGATATAGGATTAGCAAATGTTTTCTCCCATTTTTTGAGTTGCCTTTGCATTTTCTTGTTAATGTCCTTTGAAGCACAATGGTTTTTAATTTTGATGAAGTTCAGTTAACTTACTTATTTTCTCTTTGGTTGCTTTTGCTTTTGATGTCATGTGTAAGAAACCGTTGCCTAATCCGAGGTCACGGAGACTTACACGTATGTTTTCTTCTAAGTTTTAGCTCTTACATTCAGGTCTTTGATCCATCTGAGCTAATTTTTCATGTATGGTGTGAGGTAAGATCCAACTTCGTTCCTTCACAAATGGCTATTTAATTGTCAGAGCGCCATTGGTCAAAAAGACCGTTCTTCCACACGTTGAATTGTCTACGCATCCTTGTTGAAATCAGCTGACCATAAATGAATGGGTTTAATACATCACAATAAAGCAAGTCACACATTCTTTTTGGTTTCCCCATGCCTTTAAAAGTTACGTTTACACTATACCATAGCCTATTAAGTATGCAATTATGCACACTTAATAGCATTATGTCTAAAACATAACCTTGGTTAAAAATACTTTATTGCTAAAAAATGCTAGCCATCATCTGAGCAAGCTGTAATCTTTTTGCTGGGAGAGGATCTTGCCTTAATGTTGGTGGCCGGTGACTGATCAAGGCTGATGGCTACCGAAGGCTGGGGTGGCTGTGACAAATTCTTCAAACAAGACGACAATGAATTCAGCTGCATTGTTTCACCCTTCCTTTCATGAATGATTTCTCTGTAGCATGCAGTGCTGTTTGGTAGCATTCCTCTAACAGTACTACTTCCAAAATCGAAGTTACTCTTCTCGGACCCTGCCACTGCTTATCAACTAAGTTTATATAATATCCGGATCCTTTGTCGTCACTCCAACAATCTTTACAGCATCTTCGCTAGGAGTTGACTTCATCTCAAGAAACCACTTTCTTTGCTCATCCCTAAGACACAACTCCTCATCCATTAAAATGTCATCCAAAGATCCAGCAATTCAGTCATACCTTCATGTTCCATTTCTCATCTAATTCTCTTGCTATTTCCACCATGTCTACAGTTACTTCCTCCACTGAAGTCCTGAACCCCTCAAAGTCATTGATGAGGGTTGGATTCACTTCTTCCAAACTCCTGTTAATGTTGATAATTTTACCTCTCTCCATGAATCGTGACTGTGTTTGATGTCATCTAAAATGGTGAATCCTTTCCAGAAGGTTTTCAATTGACTTTGCCCAGATCACTGTCTAGATCACTATGTAGAGTAGCTATTGCCTTATGAAATGTATTTGTTAAATAATAAGATTTGAAAATTAAAATTACTTTTTGATCAAAGGGCTGTAGAATGGATGTTGTGTTAGCAGGCATGAAAATAACATTAATCTCATTGTCATCTCGGCTGGAGCTCTTGGGTGACCAGGTGCATTGTTAATGAATAGTAATATTTTGAAAGAATCTTTTTTTCTAAGCAGTAGGTCTGAACAGTAGGCTTAAAATATTCAGTAAACCATGCTGTAAACAGACGTGCTGTCATCCGGGCTCTGTTGTTCTATTTATAGAGCACAGAGTAGATTTAGCATAATTCTTAAGGGCCCTAGGATTTTCAGAATGGTACATGAGCATGGGCTTCAACTTAAAGTCACCAGCTGCACTGGCCCCTAACAAGAGAGTCTACCTGTCCTTTGAAGCCAGGCATCTCTCTAGCTCTGAAATTCCTAGGTGGGTCTTCTCCCGATACAAGGTAGTGTGGCCACCTTCGTTCGTTGTCTGAGCTCGATCTTCTGGAGAACGTGCAGTGGCTTCTGTATCGGCACCTGCTGCTTCACCGTGTACTTTGATGTTATAGAAATGGCTTCTTTCCTTAAACCTCATGAACCAGCTTCTGCTAGATTCAGACTTTTCTTCCGCAGCTTCCTCATCTCTCTCAACCTTCACAGAACTGCAGGGAATTAGAGCCTTGCTCTGGATTAGGCTCTGGCTTAAGGTCCTGTGTCTGGCTTAGTCTTCTGTCTGGACCATTGAAACTTTCTCCGTATCAGCGATAAGGCTGTTTCACTTTATCATTCATGCGTTCACTGGAGTGACACTTTTAATTTCCTTGAGAAACATTTCCTTTGCATTCACAACTTGGCTGTTGGCATAAGAGGCCGTGATTTTGGCCTCTCAGCTTCTGACATGCCTTCCTCACTAAGCTTCAGCATTTCTACCTTTTGATTTAAAGTGAGAGGCATATGACTCCTCTCACTTGAACAGAGTCCCTCTTAGGGTTATTAATGAGCCTAATTTCAACACTGCTGTGTCTCGGGGAATAAGGAGAGCAGACAAGAGGGATAAAGATGGAAGGACAGTTAGCTGGTGGAGCAGTCAGAACACACACAACGTTTATCAAGTTCACCACCTTACATGGATGCGTTTTGCGGTATCCCCAAAACGATCACAACAGTGGCATCAAAGATCACTGACCACCGGTCACCGTGACAAATATAATAATGAAAACATTTGGAATACTACAAAAATTACCAAAATAGGACACAGAGACATGAAGTGAGCAAATGCTGTTGGAAAAATGGCACTGATAGGCTTGCTTAACACAGGGTTGCTACAAACCTTGGATTTGTGAAAAACGCGAATTCTGAAAGCTGTGAAATGTAAGAAAGGGAAGCGCAATAGAACAAGACGGTCCTGTGGAGAGTTCTCGGTAGACGGTCGTTTTCCGTTGGCACTTGCGACGTGCCGCCCCGCGGCCTTCGGGCCTCCGCTGGGGCTGGTAGAAGGCGCCTGCTGCACCACGGAGGACCCCGTACCCGGCGAGCTGCTTCGTTCTGGCTGCTTTCGTGGTTCTTCTCTTTGGCTTCACGCAGTGTGACTATGAGGCGTCTGTCCGTGGATCTCCGGGATATTCTCAGTTGGGTGAGACTGCACGGTCACGTCTGACTTTTTCCGTCCGCGGTTCAATTTGGTTCTCAGGACCTATTTGAAGTAGCTAATGTAAGGTCTGTCTGCTTAGTCCAAAACCTGAGTTTCCTCAGAGACAGTGTCTATTGATTGCTTCTTTCTTTTTTGTTCTTATGTAGGAGCCAAAGGTTTTTTGTCTGTTTGTTTGTTTGCATGGCTCATAATTTTTTTGTTGAAATTGGAAATCTTAAACAGTATAATGTGTCAACTCTGGAAGTCAGATTTGTCCCCTCCTCAGGATGTGGTTGCTCTTTTGGGGGTGGTTTGCTTTGATGACTTCCCCAAGCTAACTTGGTAAAATCTGTGTTCCTCATCATATGTGGCCACTGACAGCTCTTCTCAGTTCACTTACGAGACAGCTAACGACTGAAGAAAGAGTTCCTTCTGGGCCTGAGACCACAAGGTCCCAATTCTTTGCTGAGGGGCTCTGCGTGCGTCCTCAGCAGTCAGCCAGGCAGCCGGCATCTCTGCTTCAGCTTTCACCTTCTGCTCGCGCAAAGCTTCTAGGTCGGTCACAGGCAAGAACTCGAGCTTTTTTACATCTTTTCTGAGCAGGCACACAGTCTTGGGCGTGAAAACAGCCCTGTGCATACACACAGCCTTTTAGATTCCTAGAAATACATCAAAGCGGATCGTTTTCCAGCTTTTTCTTTTAAGCTTTTTGATGAGCCCGCTCTCTTCCCCAAATGTGAAGCGCTGTTTCAGGGAGCCACCAAGTTAAACACTTGCCTCTAACTGCTTTTGACAAGTGGCCCTGGAGAAGAAGCCCTTTTCCCTGGACAAACTCTGAACCAGGTCAAATAAAGACAGCCCAGGGAGTGGAGTCGCCTAGAGAATGAGCTGACAGATCATCATGACTCTTCACTGGGGACAGGGCTGTGCAGGAACTGCTCTGCTGTTTTGTCCCCTCCCATAGCTTTTAGGCTACTGGTTTCCACTCTGACTATGGGATTTTGGTTTTCAGGGCTACCATGGAAATGGTAATGGGTCGAGTGAAAACACAACAAAGCTGTTGTTCTGGCGGCTGCTTGTGTTTGTTTGTTGAGTAAATAAGGCTGCTACAAGTTTCTGGTTAATTTTCAGAGTTCTGAAAAAACCTGATTTTGAAAAAGACTTTTTTTTGCTAGTTTTCTTGTTGCTAGCACCGAGGAGGGAATTTGCAGCGGTCTGGACTCTGCCATTTCCCCTGAGGTCACTAAATCTCCAATTTCAAGTTAACTTTGTTTTGGGTGTATTTCACGGCAAGGTGTGTCTGTACCTTGAGAATCTGGTTATCCTTACATATAATTACGTCTTTCCTTGTTAAGATGCACTTTGTAAAAGGAGTTCTTTCCGCTTTCAAAGACAACTGGAATTTTCTAAGGGCGGAACTGCGAATAAAGCAGGGATGGTTGACCAAACCACTCGTCTGCTTTCTCCATATGCGGCTGAAGGGGCAGTGACCAAACTCCGCCTTCTAGGGTGGCAGGTACCAACATTAGATTTGTTTGGTTTTGACTGCAAGCTCAACTTCTGGCTAAAGTCCTGGAAAAATCCTCTTTTGATAGAATGCAGAGTCTAGATGAGCCATGGACTGAAGAGGAGGGTGACGGCTCAGACCACCCATACTACAACAGCATTCCAAGCAAGACGCCTCCTCCAGGGGGGTTTGTGGATGCTAGACTGAAAGCCAGACCCCCCCACGGCCCTGACGTGGCCCAGGTGAGTCTGGTACCTTTTCCCTTGGGTGCTGGCTAACCGAACTTCATTTCCTTCTGCTTCCTTCAACTCTGTCTTCAGACTGGTTTCCTATCCAGAAAAAATAACCCATAAATTTCTCCCCTTGGGTTTCCCGAAACAGACACGTCGGGGAAGCTTTTGTTTTAACAACACAGGTGTTAGTCAGACGCACTGGAATTGTATTGTGATTCCTGAGATACGAATCTGGGGGCTTCCTCCTCGTCCCAGGACAAATCCCATTATACTGCGATCATAATGAGGAAAAGAGAGAGTTCAAGACTTTAAAAAGGCCCGGGGTGCTCCAGGTGCCCTGAAAAGAGAGTGGATGTAAGCCTTTAAAATGAATTTTTTTGAGCTTTTCTATTTCACTCAGTTCCCTGATTTTCCCTCCAACTCAAAATTCCAGTAAGACATTCGCTTTCTAGAGTTATGTTCTCTCCATGGTATCTCTTTGTTACATTTCTATTTTAAAAAAAATAGACTTTATTCTGTTAGAGCAGTTTCAGGTTCACAACAGAATTGAGTGCAAAATACAGAGAGTTCACACATAGCCTCCCCACGCACACATATATCCCCCCCTCCCCTCAGCATCCCTCACCAGTGCGGCATATTTGGTACAATTGATGACCAACGTGGACACATTATTATCAACCAAAGTCCATAGTTTACATGAGGGTTCCCTCTTGACGTTGTACATTCTGTGCACTTTGACAAATGCGTAATGACGTCTAGCCACCACTGTAGTATCACACAGAGTAATTTCATTGCCTATAGGGCATTTTTTTGATGTCACCTACCTTATGTGAATGACAATGACACCAATAAAAGTGGCAAAACAGAACTGAAACCAAGCGTCAGTAACGCTAACACTGAGAAGGCGCCACCAGGGTGCACTTGCCCAGGCGTGAATGGTTACGGGCGTCAGGGCTGGGCGGGAAGGACCTTCTGACACATAGACAATCTCCAACTGAGGTCTGTTTTAGGGCGTGCTGAGCAAAGTGGCTGTGCTCAGAAGAGCTCGGTTTCAGGAAGGGATGTGGGGGGTAATGAAAACAGGGAGGCATTTGTAGTTTTTCATGCGTTTTTGATGAGGTCATAGTCACACAAACATTTATCAAACCTTTATGCCAGCCGCAAGGCATGAAGGGAGGTGTCACAGGGGTGCCGTCCACTGGCCACTGAAGTCCCTCTTCCTGTGCTGTGGCTTTCAAAGGCGGAGAAACAAGAAAAGATACTTTTTTCCCCCTTTGTGTATTTACATATGTCTACAGTTTGCAGGGAAAGAGCAGACTTACTACCAGGGGAGACACTTCGGAGACCCGTTTGGAGAAGACTGGCAGCAAGCACCTGCCAGGCAAGGTGAGCGGCAAGGTGAGGTGGACGAGGAACATGCAAGGTACTTTTCAAAAGTGATGTGGTGCCTCATGGGCAGCTCCTCTTGTGGGGAGTGGTAAGAGTGACCCACCGGGATAAACACCTGCTGCAGGTGGGGCTGAAGACTCCCAGCCAGTTCGTAGAAATAGAAACAACGGCTGTTGGGGGTGTCGGAGGGCGCCCATCAGACGATGCGTCCCCTGGAGCCAGGAGCAGATCACCGCCACCCTCCCCGCAGTGCTGCGTGCTCTCCTGCACCCTGAACCTTTCCGTCTAAGGCCTCCCTCTGGCAGGACGGCTTGCCCGCCCCGGGGCTGAGGGCTCCACCTCCCTGGGGCACCTCCACCATCTCACACAGGGAGACTGGAGTGTGCTTGGCGCTGTCCCGAAGCCCCCTAGCAGGGCTGAACCCGGTGACTCCCAACAGGAACTAGAGGCTTTCCCTTCCGTGTGTCACCCCCGCCTCCCCTGTCCAGGGCCAGCTTTGGGAAGAACGGAGTGACACAGGGCCCTCAGCAGAGACGAGGCCAGGGGTGCAAGTCCCTCCCAGGCCCTGGGGACTCTCAGAGGACACTCGTACCTCCTAGCAGACCTACCAGCATGTACCTACGTCCCACATCACAAACAGCTCAGATATGACTAAGGCCTGCTTACTTCACCTGCTAACATAAATCTCTAGACAGTTACTTCTATACATATGTATACGTGCATGTACGTATATGAATATATAGCTTACTTCTTTAATTTTAAACCTTTTCCCTCCTCAGAAATTTCCACAACTGTCAACAGCTCTGGGGCCCTGGTGAATAACTGTACAGGGTCTGAAGGGGATGGAGTGATGAATGGATTAAGATCCAATTTACGCTCCTATGTATTTAACCATTTATTGTTAATGTATGTAATTTAACATGCATTTATTTAACGTGTGTAATTTACACATGTGATTTAACACGTATGTAAAGTTACATAATTTAACCATTTATTGGTTTAACATTAAGGCTTTCCCCTTCATTATTGCCATTTGTGCCAGCAAGTAAATGACAATATATTCTAAAAAATTTCCCCTCATAAAAAGGAATTTCATGTTTTGCCTGCCCCAGCTGAAAGATGACCCACCTGTGCTGGCTCAGTCAATAAACCACATGGCTCTACCTCACAATAGGATAGAAATAGCAAGTTAAAGGTATAACTTTGCTAGAGGTACTTTTTAACTATGTTTTCATCTTTGTTCTCTGTATATTTAAAAAGCATTACATACACGGTGGAATACTACTCAGCCATAAAAAAGAATGAAATCATGCCATTTGCAGCAACATGGCTGGACCTAGAGATGATCATACTAAGCGAAATAAATCAGACAGAGAAAGACAAATATCATATGATATCACTTATATGTGGAATCTAAAATAAGTGATACAAATCTTATTTACAAACCAAAAATAGACTCACGGGCATAGGAAACAAACTGTGGTTACCAAAGGAGAAAGGGCAGAGGAGGGATAAACTAGGAGTTTGGGATTAACAGAAACACATTACTAAATATAAAACAGATAAACAAGGAACTACAACTGTACAGCACAGGGAACTAGATTCAATTGCTTATAATAACATATAATGGGAAAGAATCTGAAAAAATGTATATATATGCATCACTGAACCTCTCTGCTGTACACCTGGAACATTATAAATCAACTGCCCATCAATAAAAACCAAACTTTTGAAAAGTGTTATATACAATCGTGTGCATAGACATAAAATAACTTTTAAAGACTAAAGGAGACACAATACTGACATTAGATATTTACCTGCTGAGAAACTTGTCAGGTTTACTTAAAAACGAGGCCTTTTTTATATTCAAGTTACTCCGGCCAATCAGGAACAGACCCTGGGAGAAACTCACCAGGGCGGAATGAGCCTTGCACAAGTTCCTGGGCTGGACCTTGAAACTCGTGACTGTCCATCAGCTTCTAGTTCTCATCTGAAAGCACTAAATATCCTTTCCATAGAACAAGTAAGAGTGTCCCTTATTAATCTGCTGGCAGCCGTCTCCCCTAAATGAAACTGAACTCTGGGAACCACCACGGTGTGCCTCCCTGCCCCCGACCCAGCGCCTGCTGTGTCCAAAGTGGGAAGACTCACCAGCAACTTATTCCATGGGCTTTCGATCTTCTCCTCGTAAAAATTAGTCTGTAAAGTTCTTCTTAGGGACTGATTTTTATGCAGTCCATACAGACGTGTGAACCGCAGAGAGTCACCACCGAGTCAGAGAGCGTAACGCAGGAACGGGCTGTGAGACACAGAAACCACGGCCTGGGAGAGCTGCAGGCGCAGTTCAGGACTTTGTGGAGATGCTCCTCAGCGAAGGAGTTTCCACAGGACATCTGCATTCTCCCGCTGACAGGCTGGAGACAGTGGCTGCCAAAAGTCCTTCAGCGGGCTCTCGGTAGAGTGTCTCTAAAAGCCCTGAACTGAGGCTGGCTAGCTGGACCAAGCGGGCTTCAACACCCCGCCACCCACAGGGTGTGAGAGGCAACCTCTCTGCAGAGACGTGAGCGGGACCAGGCGATCCTGAGAACGTCTGTGCAAGCATGTTATAAACAGCCACCCCGCACAGGGCATCCGACAGTGACCCGAGCAGGGCATCACCCTTCACTGCCCCGGCAGCGGTGGCGGGGAGCCCCCGGCTCAGCCTGGAACCAACCCTGGTTCAGACGAGGAGCCCCGCGAAGCCACAAGCCTGACTCTGCTTTGTAAGGAAGGAGCCTCAATTTGCTAGGAAGTCGCTTTCTCAGGCGGGTGGTAGCACCCGCCCTGCATTGCTGATGGAGTTCACTGATGACGCACGCGCCTGCACTTAAGAAAGGAGCCATTACAATAAGACTTGTTGCCCTCCCGCTGGGTTACTTTGACCTCGAGCTTCTGTGAAGGGGAAGAGGGCCCCGAGGCAGCTTCGGCCACAAGTGTGGCCCCTCTGCCTCCCCGGCTCCGGGCCACAGGGACCCCGAGTCCTGCTGGGGCTCCTAACCGTCACGGGCGTCCACCGTCGTGGGCTGGGAGGTCCCCTTTTGGCGTGGAGGAGTGGAGAGCGTCCTGCCCAGAGCTCAGGAGGGTGTGCGGGACTTAACCCACGGGCACCTGCAGGAAGGATGTCCGACAGGCGGGCCGAAGGCACTTCTCTGCGAAGGGCCGGGTAGCTTAGCGTGAGCAGTGGCTCCGTCAGAAGAGGCAAGAGGTCCGTTTTCTTGTTACAGGGGCCTTGGACATCTACAGCGTGCCTGCTGGGAGATCGCCCGTGGCCACCGCCGGAGAGGCCCCCGCCTACGTCAACACGCAGCGCGCCCCGCGGCAGGCCCGGCCGGCCGCCGGCAGCAGCGCAGAGAGCAGCCCCAGGAGAGACCTCTTCGATATGAGTGCGTTTCCATTTGCTGCCTTTTTTTCCCCCTGTGTTTTACACCATCTTTGTTTGAAATGTGTGCGATGACTGAGCTTTCTGCTAGAGGGTTTTGGTGAGTGGCGCTCATTAGCTGTACTTTTCTGGGTGATGGTTGGGTTTTTCAGGGCTTTGAGGGTGGCCAGCCCCTGCTGTGGCATTCCAACCTTCTCTGCAGTCCAGAGGCCAAGCCACCTCCCCGTGTTTTTGTGACTGACTTTCCTCCTGAAGCCCTGCTGTGTATTGAGACAAATGATAAACACACAGAAATGCACTCGTTTGTTTATTTACTCACTCGGACGCCAACTGGATATTGCGTGCCGAATACTGCATCGGTTTCTAAGATGCCAGGATGAGGTGGCTTGGCCCGTCTTCACAGAGCAAGACCAACACACACGCAAGAAACTGTGACGTGCCCCTGGTTTGCACGCACACCGCCGTTTTCTCTTCCCTTCTCTCTCCCTCTCCGTCCCCTTCCTCCTCCCCACCGAGCACCTACCGTGAGTCAAACACTACTCTGCTTCCTGGGGTCACACGGGAAAACGAAACAGACATAGAGTTTAAATAGCCACTCTGTGTTGTGAGTAGTGACACGCACGCTGATGACAAACAGAACGAAGGCCAAGAAGAGTGACCCAAAACGGCTGTTGACAGCAACATAGTGTGATGTGTGCCACCGAGACTGGGGAAAATAAACCGTCCGTGAGCTGGTTCGTGAAAGTGTAAATTGTTGTTAAGGACTTTTGAAAGCGCTTCCTAAGCTCACAAACAGCTCTACGTCCCCAGATTTCTTTTTCAAATTCCTTGAGAATTTTACAGGCTGAAGAGGGAGGGAGAGGAGCCTGGCATTTTTACTGAGGTTCTACCATGCGGCTAGGTGCTTCCTATTGCATTTAATTTTTGCAATGGTCCCATAGGTAGACATTATTATTATTATTAATTATGATGATGATGATGGCTGTTTTATTCCTAGAGGTTCAGTAACTTTACGGCTGGGCCAACACTCGGTACTGCATGTGGGTGAGGACAGAGCGGAGGGCTCTTATGAATAGGCCGCACCGTGACAGTAAGTCTGTTTCTCCTCGGCCACTTTGGTTCCCAGACACCAGACTCCCACTGATTCACAGAAACCACCAGAGCCAGAAGAAGTGTGGAAGGATCCAATCCAATCTCTTCATTAAAAAAAAAAAAAAGATGTGGAACTGGCCTAGGAGGCAGGCGGTGGCCTCAAGCTACAGAGCCTCTGTCTGCCCAGTCGTAGTGGTATCTCCTGCCTTCAGTGGAGCAGCTGTATCTGTGACCATCTTTCACTGTCTAATTTCATCAGTTCACCAGTGACCCTGGCCCCAGAGCCTGGGCAGAGTTAGACGGGGCTGGGGTTTGAGATGGGAAAAATGAAAACCAGAGCCACCCTTTTCTCATCCATCAGTTTCTACTCCTACTCCCAAAACGAGAGAAGGGGAGACAGACAGCTGAGAGAGCTGTGGAGAGGCTGGTATCTGCTGAAAAGGACGGAAAAATAAATCTAGCACATTGTGTTTATCTTGAGCCACTCTAGCTAAATAATGATGACAGTAATGATGGCGGCAGTGGTGCTGATGGTGGTGACGGCGGTGAGACAGTGATAACGGTGGTGATGAGGAGGAGGATGATGGTTATGGTGGTGATGGTGGTGACGGTGGTGAGGACAGCGATACGGTGGTGATGACGATGACGATGATGGTTATGGTGGTGATGATGGTGGTGAGGACAGTGATACGGTGGTGATGATGATGACGATGATGGTGATGGTGGTGATGATGGTGGTGACGGTGGTGAGGACAGTGATATGGTGATGATGACGATGATGGTTATGGTGGTAATGATGGTGATGAAGAGGGTGAGATGGTGAAGTGGTGTTGGTGATGATGGTGGTGATGATGATGTTGACAGTGACGGTGATAATGGTGACATTGATGGTGGGGCTGAGGTGATGGTGATGACGATGGTGGTGATGAGGTCTGTGGTGATGGTGATGGTACAAATTTTCAACAACTCCAGGTAATCAGGGAAAAAGTAGGACAAAAAGAGAAAATCCGCAAACATTATTTTAGCTAATAGTTTTAACCTCTTTTTCTCCCCACATCTGTAAATGATTTAACAAGTGTCAAATTGACTGAATCTTGGTTTCCTTTGTTCACCTCACTTCCGCCTGTTCCCTACTAACCTTGAACAAACTGGTCTTATTTTGCAGCACTCACTGATTATTCACAGGGCTTAGACTGTCCCGGGAGCAGTGCTGGGCTCTGGGGAGGTAGCTGTGCCCAGGAGGAACCATCCCTGCTCTTGTGGTGCTTGCGTTGTGCTGGGTTAGCGGTGTGGGCCTCGATAACCATCACAGCGCCTTATGCGTGCATAGTGCTGAGTGCAGTTTTCAGAGTGCTTTGTACATACTACCTTGTTTGGAAACCGAAGATGTAATTAGACGTGCCTGGCAAGCTCTCTTACTGCTGATATTTGTTGCTGTTGGAGCAGCAGTCTTACCATTGACTGATGCCCTGCAGGGAGAAGTGTGTCCTGAAGGGCATGAAGTCAGGCTTAAGCTCAGACACTCACACAAGAGTCTTTTTCTGCAGGGAGACACGTGAAGGTCAAGGGGAGGTGAGCTCCCAGCCCGCAGCAAGTCACGCAAAAGTCACCGAATGAATGTCTATCTTCTCTTTGAAAAAATTTCACCTAGTACAAAGATTTTGGAAGGAACATTTGTTGGGTTGGGCTTAGGTTTTGAACAAAATCAAAACCTTGCAACTTGTCTTTCCTTTTTTTTTTTTGTTATTGGCAGGTTTTTATTCAGAAGAGAACAGATTTGTTGAAGAGGCTAGCCGATGTTCCAGAGAAAGTAGATGGCATGCGATATGCATGGCTTCTCGGGGCGTGCAGAAATGAAGTCATTCTAACTAGTTAGACAAAGGGTGTGCTTGAGTCTTCGGCACAAGACACAATGCTCAGCTGTCTTGGGAGAGCAGACTCATCAGGGAGGGTCACGCCAAGACTTGGGCTGTGCTTCCAGATGCTTGTTCGGATAAGTCTCGTTATGTTACCAGCCCGTCATTTTTATCGCCTTCCTTTTGTTTCTGGGAGAAGCTGCCCTTCCGTTTCTAGCTCTCACGTTGTGCTGTTTGTCATTTGCTCTTCTTGGGACTGACTTGTCGCTGGCAACTGTCGTTGGCAGAGCCTTTCGAAGATGCTCTCAAGAACCAGCCGTTGGGGCCTGTGCTGAGCAAGGCGGCCTCGGTGGAGTGCATCAGCCCCGTCTCACCCAGGGCCCCGGACGCCAGGATGCTGGAAGAGCTGAGAGCGGAGCCTTGGTACCAGGGGGAGATGAGCAGGAAGGAGGCAGAGCGGCTGCTGAAGACGGATGGAGACTTCCTGGTCAGGAAGAGCGCCACCAACCCCGGCTCCTTTGTCCTCACTGGCATGCACAACGGCCAGGCCAAGCACCTGCTGCTCGTGGACCCAGAAGGCACGGTGAGCGCGGCGGAGTGCGGCCGCAGTGGCCGCCTCCCTCCCACAGCCTCCCCCGGGGTCGTGGTGTCGCCGGGAGACCACTCGCCCTCCTCTGCCCATATGTGCCCGCTGAGTCCCGGGTCACCCCTTCAGGACCGTGGAGAGCGGTCACGGAGGCCTCGATGCTTCCAGGCCAGAGCCAGGCTCCAGGAGCCCCTGGTCGGGACCCCGCGCAAGTCCTGACACCTGGAAAATCACCAGGGTCCAGGGTGAAAGGCTTCATTCTCACGTCCTCTAAAATAAGCACAAAAACTGAGAAAGGCTGCTTTCCAGGTACGTTCACAGTGGACAAAGAAGTGCAGGGGTCCTGGGCTTTGCATACTGACCTCAAATCTCTCTAAAAGTTGAACCACAGGTTTTTATTTGCAAGTGGTGAGACATGGTGAGGCAGGAAGTTCCCCCCGTTGTTAAGTCTCTGTCTTTCCCACGCAGAAGGCTACCTGGTGATGGGGGGTTGGCTCTTCCTGGCTGTGCAGCTGTGTCCCCGCAACTCTGCGGGTTTGACTGCATAGCCCGTCCTCCAGACAGTAAATACATCCGGCTTCACCCTGGCACAGCCCAGGAATTATTATGTTGAATAAATGTAATTATACTAATGGAACCACTGAGTACAGTGCAGGATTACTGCTTAAAATCCTTTGCCCAGTGGAAACAAGGAGGTAGGCAGAGCCTGCCTCCACAGCGGCTAAGGACACGGCCTTTCCCCTGGGCATGGTGAGGATGAGCACTTAGTCTCCAGCGGGACCTGAACGTGAGTCAGCTGTGTGTGTCTGAGGAAGGAGGCGGTGTCACCTGAGACAACCACACCTCAAATTCTCAAATCGTTTCTTTCCTTTTCCCTTCGGTGCACGTTTTTGCCATCTGTCAGTGGTGCCTGCTGTATACTGGATTGTCACCTGGGTGGGGCATCTGGGGCTCCCCGGATACGTGGTCCGCACGTCCCTTCCCGAGCTGCCTCGGGAAGGACTGACAAACAGAAGCCACTGCAGACCTCATGCCTGTTCACCCCTGTTCCCGGGACGGTGTCTCTGGGGTGTCTCCCATGAGTGGTGTTTTGGGTCCCAGGATATCGATACACTTGACTTCGCCTGGGATTGCTTCTGCTTCCAGAGTGGCTGGGCTGCCGACATGCACAGCCTCAGAGCGTGAGGGTCGCCTGTCCGCCTCCTCCTTGCATCATCTCTCGAGTTTGGGGGGTAAAGTGATGTCTCCTTGTTTGCTGTGCAAGCCACTGATCACGCTTCATCAACAGGTTTCCCCATATGGTTGATGTTCCTCCTTCCCCCCTCCATGTTTCTCTTATAATATTGCTGGTTTTCTTGAGGGGTTTTTTTGGTCATAGAATCTCCAAAGGCACTCTTCCACTTTCTATCAGATAATTGCGTCTGTGACATCCTCGCCAAATAAAAGTCTTTGTTTTATTGGAACCTAGCTGAATCCATCAGTTTTCCCCTTGATGATTTATGGTATTTTGGGGGGGGGTAATTAGGTTTATTTATTTTGTTTATGATTATTTTTAATGGAGGGGGTGGGGATCGAATCCAGGACCTCACGCACGCCAGGCATGCGGGCTACCGCTGAGCCATACCCTTGCTCTGTGATTTAAAGCTTTGAGTTTTAGAAGATTTCTCGCCTCCAGATCACAGATACACTGTATACCCTTCTACATTTTCCCCTATTGGCTTTAGAGATTTATCTTTTCACATTTATTTTTCAAATCCAACTGAAGCTACTTTTGAAGATGATATAAGGTAGGGACCCGACGTTGAAACATATCTCCGTGTAGAGAGCCGCTTTTCTGTCCCTATTAGCCAGATAATTCATCCCTTCTCTGTGGCAGTGAGGCTCCCTCCACCCAACACCGAGTTATCTGTGTCACCGGCCTGTTTCGAGACTCTGTCTGTCCTGTTGCTCTGACTGTCTGTCCCTGTACCAGTTCCACACTGTATTGCTCACTGTGGCTTTAACTTGTCTTAGTATCTGGGGGCCTGTGGGTCCTTTTCCTTGATTCTCCTCTTTGTTAGCTGTCGGAGCTATTCTCAGACCTTTATTCTTTGCTCTGATTTTCGACTTAGTTTATAAAGTCACCAAAATACATGTTGGGATTTTGATAGGACTTGCCCTGAATTTACAGATCAATTTGGGGACAGCTGACACATTTCAATATTAAAGCATCACATCTATGAACATGGCATAAGTCTCCACTTCTTTAGTTTTAAGGTGTCTTTTGTCAGAATTAAAAAATTCTTTCTGAAAGTTTGTTTCTTTTTTTAGTTTTTTTGGGGGGAGGCGGGGTAGGGTTCAGGTTTATTTATTTATTTTTAGAGGAGGTCCGGGGGATTGAATCCAGGACCTCCTGCATGCTAAGCATGCACTTGCCACTGAGCTGTACCCTCCCGCCCCTGGGAAGTTTTCTGTTTCCTTTGTCAGGTTATTTCCGAGAGTGTTTAGTTTCAGTTCCTGTTGTAAGTGGTATGTTATTTTTGATCAGTTTTTCTCAGTAGTTGTTGCTGAAGGCAGAGGACTGCAGTGTGATCTTGTGCCTGGAAAATTTGCTGACTGCAGTAGTTTCAATGGAGCGGCGGTCATGCCTTTGCACACACGGCTTGTTTGGTCTCCGGCTCCCCAGTCCCACACCTTGCAGGGGACCACATGCGGGGACCAGGGCGCCTTTGAGCGCCGGCCAGCAGAGGAAGCCCCTGTCTTGTTTCCAACTCGAAAGGGAAGGAGGTTTTGTTCCTTTAAGGATGATGTAAGCTTTTGGTAGACCGTCCTTCTCAGCCTAAAGGTCTTCATTCACTCATTCATTGATTCACTCAACAAGTGACTGCTCCTGGGATGTGTCCATGAACCAGTGAAAATGACAATCTCTGCTCTCATTAACATACGTATTAAATACCTAATTCCTTTTTATCATGTACTTATATTGAACTGTATCAAATGCTTCTTCCGCAGCTTTTGAGATAACACTGTGACTTTTTTCCTAAAGTCTGTGAATGTGGGAATTACACAGGTAGATTTTTCTGATGGTGCATCCTGCTTGGTCTTGACCAAAAAGTAAGGTCACAAAACATAAGGTCTGCATCACAGAATCATTCCGGACTTCTTTCCTTTCACGTTGGCCACCTATGAATTCAGTTGTGCGCATTTAAAAAAAAAGGGGGCGGGGGGGAGAAAATAGCTAAGCCATTCTAGAGAACATAAATAGTTCAGCTGAAAATTTTATGTATCTTTTAAAAATGAAAAGTTAAAATTTAGCTAAATTACTCCTTCTTCTAGACCAAAGCTGATTCATTTTCTGTTCACTCAGTCCTTACAGGCAAAAGGATGATTTTTAAAAGACACACACTGTTAATGACAGGCTGTATACTCACACATCCGTCTCGAGATGACGCAGAAGAGCAGGAGGAAGTTACGTCAGACCAGGCGTCCGAGCGAGCCAGAAGCCCCCCAGGCTGCACTGCGTAGACAGCTTTCATTTTGGAGGATAAATTTGCAGTATGGTGGGGAAATGTGTAAATCACACCTACTAGTCACTGTCCTTCGGGTTTTTTTTCTGGATTTGATTACCTAGCTTAATTGATGCCATGGAGGATAGCTTTAACTGGAAAAGAAAATGGAAATGAAAGACTTAATTAAAAATGCATGCTGCTTCCTTGCTGTGAGGACACCAAAATAGAGGCGAACACATTCTTTTCAATATTTATTCCTCTGATTTTCATGGTAATTGGTGGGTCCCTGACTATAAAGGGGGAAACTTGGCAGAGCTGATTACTCAGAGAAATAAGGATGCAGAACAGCCCTGGGTCTAAATTTACTCTGGCGTACACCAACCTCCATGCTTTCCCAGTTGTGCAAGGCGGGGGTGCCCGGGGCGAGCTGGGAATGTGGGGGGCAGGGAGCCTGTGGCAGGGCTCCTGGGCTCCCGGGGAGATGCTCAAGGTGCTGAGCCTGGATCACAGCGGCTGGGAAGGGGCCGGGGAGAGCGTCTGTAAGAACAGCCTCAGGGATGGAGTCTGGTGCCCTTTTTTTTTTTCTTTTCAACATCTTTCAGAATCACTTACTCAGCCCTCTGTGTCTGAAATCACCCCCTAAGTCATTGATCATCAATTCACTCCTTTGGCCTTGACAGGCCAGCACAGCGAGGTGGGCACCATGCTTGTGTTCGAATAAGCCGTTGCCACGCGTGGCTGCATGTTCCACGGGCTTCAGTGACGTGGTCTCGGGTTATGACAGGTTTGAGCGCACGCACAGGGGCTTGTGCATTCATGAGATCACCAAACACTGACTACCATCCAACATCCACATTTACTAGGTTTTTATTTTGTTCCCAGAGTAATTAAGAAAACAGAAAGTCCCCGATCCCTCCACATAATAAAACCCTGCTGTTATTTTAAATTCCCTTGTCCCAGTCAGCCTAGGCTGTGCCGCTGTGACAAATGAAAGGTGAGTTCTGATAGAGTGTGAGAGCTTCAGCCCCCACTCACATTAAGCCTGTGTGTGCTGAGTGGCTCCCTGGCCTCTCTGGCCCTTGCTTGGTGGCTCGGGGAGGCAGGTGCATCCATCTCCTGGGTCGGCCTCGTCCCCATGGAGAAGGGAGGGAGGGAGGGAGGGCAGCAGCTCTCAACAGCCTCACGGGGGAGGCGGCACATGTCACTTGCCTCACGGTCCATTAGTCCCGACCTGATCCCAAGAGAGGCAGAAGAATCTCAATGACTCATGGAGAGTTCTTGACCAGCAAGGCTGTCTCAACAGTGTATCTTTTAGCTTCCTGTCACTGTAACAGCCCCAAATATAAACAAATAAGACATTACAGACAGGCTTTAATGCAGAGTAACAGGCCCCCCGCCCTCCTCCTCGCCCCACTCCCAGTTCCAAGAGACAAGCAGGCTCTCCGCAAGGTTTCGTCCAAAGTGCCTGAACGGCTATTCACTGATGTCATGTTTCGACACATAATTTCC